ATGAGAACAACTTTCATTCCCTTCCTATTTGAAACACCTCAAATCTATTTTGGAAGTAGGTGGTATGTGAATAAATAAAATTTAAATGACCTTACAATTAGTAAAAGAGTTCAGGCAAAATGGTTGAGGTGAGAGACAAGAAGGGAACAATGAGAACAACTTTCATTCCCTTCCTATTTGAAATAAGAGACAATTATTCTATTGCTCTTCACAATCATTCTTAGAAGATAACAAATTAGGAAAATTTCCCCTTATCTGGGAACTGGACAGCAGGCATTAAGAATTTCTAGGTAGAAAGGGAACTTGGAGAGCATCTAAGCAAACCCATCACTTTACAAATGAGGAAACTGAGGCCCAGAGAGGTGAGGTGACTTACCCGAGGCCACAGCTCTAGGAAATGACAGAGGCGGGACTAGAACGTGGGTAGCTTGAGGTCCAGGCCAACGTGCTCTCCCTCTGCGTCACACGCAACGCAGAAGATTTGGGGTGGAAGGAGAGAGGAAGAGAAGGTGACCCCACAGCCCCTAGCAACAAAAACAACAAAAAGGACTTGAGGCACTCATAAATAATTAAGCAATTAGCTGCAGCAGCTACTCCCCTCCCCTCCAGCATCCAGTCACCAAGGCAACTTGGGCAGGGTGCCTGCTGGTTGCCTAGTAACAGTGTGGTCTGCTCCCCTGACATGCTCCCTAGGCATCAAAGGATTTGAGAGCTGGGAAGAACCTTAGACAGGGATTACTATTCCAACACCTTCATTTTCCAAATGAGTAAACAGAGGCCCAGAGAAACTGGGTAACCTGCCTAAGGTCACACAGCTACTCAGAGGCACATCCAGGCTCCATTCTCAGTTGCTTTCCATTGCACCAGGGCTGCCTCTGAGAGGCTGCAGATGGAGAAGAGGGGGAGAGCTCTCCACAGTTCCTAGAAGAATGAGAAAGTCAGAGCGAACGAGCAGGCAAGAAAGAGACAGAGACCTTGAGCTCTCACATGCAATTAGCAGGAGCTGGTAATCCCATCAGCCCAACTTTCATCATCACCATGGCAACATGGGTGAGGTGGGTGCTGGTTGCCTAGTAACAAGTGGTCCTCTCTTTTCCACTCATATCCGGCTCCCTGGGAGTCACAGGAACAGTACGTGTTGGAGCTGGAAGGGAAGGAAGGGGTCCTAACTCAGTCTTCTGCTTTAACCAACAAGGAACCCGAGGTTCAGGGATACTGCAAGTCCCACAGCCACAGAGCTAGCTAGTAACATTCCTTCCATTGAGGGCCTCTGTCGCAGCACTGCAGAAAGGGAGTGTTCCACTCAGTAAAGTCAGAACAAGGGAGGGGAGTGTTCCCCTTGAAAGGAGATGCTTCTACCACTTGTCTAAATGGTGGCAATGCCACCCACAAAACTTGGCACATGGTGGATGCACACAGGAGGTGCTATGCTATGCACAGTAGTTAAACACAGAGTCTCTAAAGTCAGAAAACCGGAGTCAAAAGCCAGTTCTCCTTAAACTTCACAAATGTCCTATTCTCTGTATGCCTCAGTCTCCACATCCAAGGAATGGACATCCTGACTGTCTCTACCTCTTGAGTCATCATTAGGATTAAATGAGAAAACGGACATGTAAAGTGCCTGGTATAGGGTAAAGATGCAGTAAATATTAAGTATTCATTTATTCTACATTCAATAAATACTTGTTACGTGTCTGCTACGCAAATGCTACTGTTCCAGGTTCTTGAGATTCATTAGTAAGCAATGTAGACAATATAGACAAAAGAAATTCTTGGGCCAGGCACAGTGTAATCCAGCACTTTGGGAGGCAGAGGCAAGAGTATTACTTGAGGCCAGGAGTGCGAGGCCAGCCTGGGCAACATAGGGAAACCCTGTCTCTACAAAAAATTAGCTGGGCATGGTGGTACGTGTCTGTAGTCTCAGCTTCTTGGGAGGCTGAGGCAGGAAGATTGCTTGAGCCCAGGAGTTCAAGGCTGCAGTGAGCTATGATCATGCCACTGTACCCCAGCCTGGGTGACAGAGTGAAACCCTGTCTCAAAAAGAAAGAAGAAAGAAAGAGAGAGAGAGAGAGAGAGAGAGAGAGAGAGAGAGAGAGAGAGAGGAAGGAAGGAAAGAAGGAAGAAAGAAAGAAAAAGAGAAAGAAAAAAGAAAGAAAGAAAGAATGAAAAAGAAATTCCTGTCTCAGGGACCTTATATTCCAGTAGAATATAGAAAAAATATATATAGATATAGATATATATAATATACATATGTGTGTTTATATATTTATATTTATATATCTATTTATTTAAGTGTTTGTTGAATGGGTGGAGGAACTCATTGGCAATATGCTGTTTATGTTGCTGGGCTCCTTCTCTAAGACTGAGAAGTTTCCTGTTTACAGGGTGTGATGCTATAAATATGCAGGCCTGTCGTCTATGTGGGAACTTCGTTTTCCTTTCTTTTAAAAGCTCAAAAGAAAAATGAAGGCAGTGGCCACTAGATGGCAGAATTCAGTCCCCGTAGACATGGCACAGAAGGCGCAGGCCTGGGGCAGAGGTCCTGACTGGAGCCTCCCGCAAAGGCAAGTGTTGCAGCTGGTCAGTCCTAGGGCAATAGCTTGGAGAGGTGGAGGAGACTTGAAATTATTCTGGGACACTCGGAGGTGTCAGGGGAGGCTGCACTGTGGTTTAAGAGTGATTGCTTTGGAGTGAGACTGAGCCCTGCTTTAACCAAGATCCTGCCATGGGTAAGCTGTGTGACCCTGGGAAGCTATTAGCCATGCTGAGCTCTGGGACATGAAGATGGTAACAAGAGCTCCTACAAGGGGATGCTTTGACTGTGTGTGTAAGAAAACAATGTCTAATGCACCTTGCAAGCTGCGTATAGAAAAAGCTCATCCAGTATTATTTACCTGGATTCTAAAAGGCCCCTGAAGGTCTGGTTCAGAGATGCAAATGCAAGGGGAAGGGGTAAAGGAAATAGCATTTGTTAAGCATTTGCAATGAAGACACTGAGGTCTGTGCTGTCACAGAGCCTGGAAAATGTGGCTTTAGGTTTGGTTGTCCCACCCTCTGCATCCCACTCTGCCCATACCCCTTGTGTTGGTCTTCCTTCTTCATTCTCATTGATGCCAGCCTCTCCCTGTCCCCACCTCCTGAGTTCCACCCAAGCGTGGCATGGGGGACCGCAACACCCTGCTAACTAGTCTCCCTGCTCTCAAACACCTGCTCCTCCCACCTGCTGCCAGACAGCAGCCTGAACGGTCCCCAAACACTGATTTGTTTCTTCCTGCTCTCAGAATAAAGCTCAAGTTCTTTCTGGTGGTCAAGAGGACTTGGCATCTTCTGGATCCTTCCTTCCTTTCCTAACTCCCAGCTGAGCTCTCCTCATTCCTCAAAGCTTCTCTGTGGCCATGAGGCATCTGCATATGCTGTTCCTTCTCCTGAATGGCCAGTCCCTCTGCTCGGTATGGCTGACTCCTCCCACCTTAGGCCTCCACTCTAAGGCAGGTCCTTTCCCCTCACTAATTATTTCCTTCAGGGCACATGTCACAAGCTGCACGGATCTACTACCCACCTCCCACACCATGATATCCAGGCCAGGTGGGCAGGGCAGAGCCGGGCCTCTCGTCCACGCCTGTGTTCCCAGTGCCTAGTGCAGGGCCTGTGGTGTGGACAGCACACCACCAAGATTTGTTAATGAACTGGGTATCAGCAGATACTGACTGAAAGGAAGAGTCTAACTTCGTCTCCCAATTTCTAGTCTTTCTCTCGGGCCACCTTATCTTTGTATGAACGGCATATTGGTCTTCCTAAAAAGCACTTTTGTCCTATTACTCCTCATGCTTGAAAGCCCTAAATGGCTACCTACAAGGCTGAGGTCTGAAATCTCCAGTCTAGCATTTGAAATCCTCCACACCTCAACATGGCTTTCCAAATGCATCTGCAAATGTATTTCCAAATATATTTGGCTTATATATGTATGTGTGTGTGTGTGTATATATACACACATACACTTACTTGAAAATATATAAATATATGTTTTTGGGAATATACCTTCAGATGGAAATATATATATTCCCAACAAATTCATCCCTATTCCCTTAGTGCGTCTTCAGCTCTGCCCTGACAGGAGCTCTGGAAGACAGGCCTGGGACTCCTCCTATACTACTGTGTCCCCAGTTCCTAGTACAGGGTCTGTCACAACATTAGAGATTCAGCTGTGCTGAATCAATGATGGGTCTTCTCCCTACTTGGTCAACACACCGTGTGTACTCCTATCTCCACACTTTTGCCCCAAACCTTTCTTTTCTCATCCCCCAAATTCTCCGGCCATCCTTCGAGGGCCAGGCAAGTTCCATTGCAGGACATCAGCCACTAAACATACCCCAGAAAGGAACAGGAGATCCAAAGAGTCCTGGAGCCATAGCTAGGCAGTACCCAAACTAATTTCCCCAGGAACCCCCTTATCCTGGCAAAAGGAACACTAGAAAGTAACCAAACTTTTAACTGAAAAATAGGTCCCAATGATTTCAAAAAATATTGGTTTTGTAGCCAGCCTGAGAACTCTGATTGAAGGACCTTTGTTGTGGCCACACAGTAGTCCACTGATTGGAGGCGCAACACTTCATGTAACCAACTCCTACTGCTGGGCATTTAGATTATTACCAATGTTTGTGTCCACCATGTGCAACCCTGCAATAAATACGCTCTGCCAGTCTCTGCCTTCTTATCAAAGAGTAGCTATTACTGTTCCTAGGCCAGCCAATCAATCAGAGATATGGAGACGGCTCACATCAGAAACTGGACTGACCGGGAAGGCTGGCAGGCCTCAACTTCATCTTTAGCAATTTTGAAAAGACAGGAAAAGATGGACAGTATGGAGGCAATGTGATCAGAAGAACGTCCAAAAATGTGTGTTTAAGCCCATGTTTAACAGCCGTGTGATTTGGGACAAACCAATAAACTTCTTTGAGTCTCTTTTGTTCTCAATGGAAAAATGAGCATGCTAAATAATTCCTGCTGTCTGAAGAATCAAATCGGGAACATTTGGCAAGGCCCTGCATAAGCCATAAAATGTCACACAGTGTTGGTTGTTGTTCCCTTATCACAATTCCTGGAGGGGATAACCCTACATCTCCTCTGCTCTTTGAACAAGAGTGTCCTCCTTTGCACTCTTTGGGGATTTAGAGAAATGTAGAGTGAACAACTGTCCCAGTTTGCCGAGGACTGTCCCAATTTGAGCACTGGAAGTCCCGAGTCCTGGAAAACCCTTTAGTCCTGGGCAAACGTGAATGCTTGGTCAGCTAGAAGCAGGTCTGTAAAGCACTGTCTGTTCCGCTTGATTTTCAGCATCCATCCCAGAGGCCTCTGATCCCCACTGCAAAAGGACGACTGCTTGCACAGTGGGATAAGTCAGCAGCAAGCGACTCACTGCTTTACAACTAAGAAGCTGCTTAAGGGATAAGATTTTGTTTTGGGCTTTCAGTTATGGCTCAGAGATCATTTAGGGGAATATTTTGCAAGCCAGTTCTCTGAGGAA